CAAGGCGGCGGCCGACAAGCAGTGCCAGCACCTGAAGCTGGCACTGGGCTGCCAGGCCGAGGCCACGCCGCTGCCGCTCAAGAGCTCGGTGCTGGGCACCGTGCAGGCTCCCGCCGAGGCCAAGCAGAGCCTGTGGGAGCTGGCCACCGAGCCCACGGGGCCGCTGGTGCAGAGGGTCACCAAGAGCGTGCTGGTGGTCAAGTGCAAGGCCAGCCAGAGGCACAGCCTGGGCTACCTGCACGCCAGCTTCGGCCAGCGCCGCTTCTCCTGCGCCTGCCGCGCCCCCGGGCACGGCCACGCCAAGGTGGAGGACGAGGAGGAGGAGGAGGAGGAAGAGTCGCCCCCAGCGCGCTGCATCCATTTCCTGGCCTGCATCTGCGCCTTCGCCAGCGACGAGAGCCTGGCCCAGGAGTTCTCCGACTTCCTGGCCTCTGACGCCGGCGGTGGGAATGGGCAGGGGTTCTGGGGGCTCTGGGGTCACCCCAAACACCCCCCGGGTTCTCCCTGTCACCTGGGGGTTGGGTTTGAGTCCTGCCCCAAGCAAGCACAGAGCTCCGTGGGGAGCGGTGCCCAGCTCCTGCCTGCGTGGCAGCAGAGTGGGGGCTCCACGGGGAGCTGTGGGGACAGATCCCACCGGGTTGGGGGTCCCTTTCTAGGGCTGGAAACTCTGAACCCCTTCCCAGAGCAACCTCTGGCCTTCATTCCCCAAAAACCCCTCCCAAAGCAGGAAATCTGGGGTTCATTCCCTGTGACCCCCAGCAGGAAATCTGGGGTTCATTCCCTCTGACCCCCCCACATCAGGAAATCTGGGGTTCATTCCCTGTGACCCCCAGCAGGAATCTCTGGGGTTCATTCCCTGTGACCCCCAGCAGGAAATCTGGGGTTCATTCCCTGTGACCCCCAGCAGGAAATCTGGGGTTCATTCCCTGTGGCCCCCCCCAGCAGCAGCACCCTGGATTCCCACCATTCAGGGGGTTCTGCACCCCAATAACCCCACACAGTCCAAGATGAAAACCCACTCGGGGGGCACAAAATCCCCCCCTCCCCTCCAAAGGAGCCTCTTGGGAGGGTGGGTGGTTCTCTGGGGACATTTGGGGGATGGCTGTGTCCCTCTGTGTCCCTCTGTGTCCCCGTGCCTCGTGCCCGGGGCGGTTTTAGGGACAGGATTTGTGTCCCCAGGGCTGAAGGGGACGGTGATCCCGCAGCTGCTGCGCGGCCCCGGCTCCACGGCACGGGCTCGGGGGGCGGCTGCTGCCAGGGCCAAGAGGAGGAAAAAGGACGTGGGGCCAGGTGAGTGTCCCTGGGGAGGGCCTGGGGTGGGTGGGGGCTGAAATCCCCCGTGGAGGCAGCTCTGGGGTCAGATCCAGCTGTTGGCATCTCTGGAGCAGCTCCATGGGGTCAGATCCAGCTGTTGCCACCTCTGGAGCAGCTCCAGCTGTTGGGAGCTCGGCTCCCCAGCCCCATGGGGTGGTGCTGTGGGGCTGAGGGCCCAGAGGAGGGAGGTGACAGGGAGCTCCCAGGGACAATGTGGGTGACAATCCCTCCCTCAGGGCCGCAGCTGCCCGGGCCCCTCCTGGCTCCAGACCCGGCTCATCCCGGCCCCAGGAGGAGCGGCCTGAGGAAGCCACCGGTCTCCTCCTCCTCTTCCTCCTCCTCCTCCTCCTCGCTGAAGAGACACGGTGAGCCCTGGGGCAGTGCCAGCGCTGGGTTTGCACGGCTGGATGTGGGTTTTGGGAGGGAATTCCTGGTTTGTGAGGGTGGGGACAGACCGGGATGGGATGCCCAGAGCAGCTGGGATCTCTGGAAGTGTCCACGGGCAGGTTGGAGGACCCTGGGTCTGTGGAAAGTGTGGGACCCATGGTGGGACTGGGTGGACTTTGGGGTCCCTCCAACCCAAATCTGTGTTTAGATGGGATTTTAGGAAGGAATTCTTACCTCAGTGCAGGGAGGGGCTGGGATGGAATTCCCAGAGCCACCTGGATCCCTAGGAGTGTCCAAGGCCAGGCTGGACCACCCTGGGACCCTGGGTGGGACTGGATGGGATTTAAGGTCCCTCCCAACCCAAACCAGATCCCATGAGTGACTTCTGCTGGCATTCTGTGGAATGTTTGGGAGGGGAAAGGTCCCTCCAGCACCACTAAATCCCGTGGGTTTCCCCACATCCCTGTGGAAAACCCTCTCCCCACACCGGCATTGCGGCCTTTGCTTGGTGCTTTTCCCCCCCTCGCCTTCAGTTTTCCCTGGAAGTCCACACAAATCCCTCATTTTCCTGCTTTTCCCCCACACAGAGCTCACCCATCCCGCCCCGGGCTGGTTCATGGGGCTGAGCTGTGGGGCAGGGCGACATTGCTGTGTCCCTGTTACACACCCTGCTGTGGGGCAGGGTGACATTGCTGTGTCCCTGTCCTTGTGGGGCTGGGCTGTGGGGCAGGGTGACATTGCTGTGTCCCTTCCCTGTCCCCTACAGGCTGTAACCAGGCGCTGGACGAATCCCAGGTGTCCCTGTCCTTCCAGGAGTGGCTGGGCAGCGTCACCGAACGCATCCACCAGACCATGCACTACCAGTTCGAGGGTGAGTGTCCGCCTGTAGCACCTGCTGTTCCCCTGCTGTTCCCCTGCTGTTCCCCTGGCTGTTCCCCTGGCTGTTCCCCTGCTGTTCCCCTGCTGTTCCCCTGCTGTTCCCCTGCTGTTCCTCTGGCTGTTTCCTTGGCTTGGCTGCAGGTTGTCAACATTCAGGAACACTCACAATCACAGAATGGTTATATGAAATTATATGAAATTATATGAAATTGCTTTATTAAAGAGTTCTGGGTGTCAGGGGTGCACAGACCCAAATCTGACCTGATTTGGTTTTGAGCTGAACGTGTTTTATCATTTTATATATATATATATTAAAATATATATATATATAAATATATATTTAAATTATATGTTATTATATATATATTACATATATATAATATTATATATAATATTGTATATATAAATAAATTATATATATTTATAATATATAAAACAAATATAAATATATTTATATATTTATATATTTATATAAATATTTATATATAATATATATTATATTTATATATAAATTTATAAATATATAAATATATTATATAATATATATAATATATTATACATTATGACATACAATATTATATATTATATATTATATATTATATATTATATATTATATATTATATATTATATATTATATAATAAATTATTATACATAAATATATATAATAATATAATATAATAATAATAGAATAATAATATATATAATATAAAAATATATTTATATATATTTATCATTATATATATAAATATAATTATATAATTTACATATTAATCATTAAACTTACACTGTTCTATTGTAAGCATTGTTTTTACCCAAGCATGGATTTCTCATCATCCCCCCAAACCCCTAACACAGCTCCTCACGTTCTTTAAACAATAATTATACCTAATCACATCTAACAATTGTATCATTTATCATCTATTGATTCCACAGCTGCAGTTTGACATGATCTTTACCAAGCACAAGGCCTAACATTCCCCAGGGCCTGCTTTTCCCAGGGCAAACCCAACTTCCTTTCTAAATCCCTGAATTTTCTAAGATTTTAAGACTTTTTACAATCCAGGTGACATTGGAGGCTCAGGGGAGGGGATTCTGCCCCTCTGCCCCGCTCAGGTGAGACCCCCACCTGCAGCCTGGGGCTCCCAGAGTCCACCCCAGAGCTGCTCCAGGGGCTGGAGAAGCTCTGGAGCCAGCCTGGGAGGGCTGGGGTGTTCCCCTGGAGAAGGGAAGGATCCTGGGAGAGCTTCCAGCACGTTCCAGGGGGATCCAGGAGAGCTGGGGAGGCACTGGGGACAAGGAGGGACAGGCACAGGGAATGGCTCCCACTGGGAAAGGGGAGATTTGGGTGGGGAGGGGCTGGGATGGAATTCCCAGGGGAGCTGGGGCTGTCCCTGGATCCCTGGCAGTGCCCAAGGCCAGGCTGGAGCAGCCTGGGGCAGGGGGAGCTGTCCCTGGCTGGGTTTTGGGGCCATCCCACCCCAAACCATTCCAGAATTCCACGGCTCTCAAGCCCCCCTGCTCTTTGGGGAGCATTTTGGGAACACTTTTGGTGTTTGGAATGCCATGTCCCTTTTTGGGAACACTTCTTGTCACTTGGGAACACTTTTGGTGTCATTTTAGGAATGCTGTGTCCCTTTTTGGGAACACTTTTGGGGCCTTTTTGGGAATGCTGTGTCCCTTTTTGGGAATAGTTTTGGTGCCATTTTGGGAATGCTGTGTCCTTTTTGGGGATATTTGGTGTCTTTTTGGGAATAGTTTTGGTGCTGATTTGGGAACACTTTTGTTGCCTTTTTGGGGATGATTTGGTGTCTTTTTGGGAACACTTTTAGTGCCATTTTGGGAACATTTCTGGTGCCATTTGTTAACATTTTTGGTCCCATTTTGGGAATGCTGTGTCCCTTTTTGGGGATATTTGGTGTCTTTTGGGGAAGGCTTCTGTTGCCTTTTTGTGAACATTTCTGGTGCCATTTGTTAACATTTTTTGTTGCCATTTTGGGAATGCTGTGTCCTTTTTGGGGACAATTTGGTGGTTTTTTTGGGAACACTTTTAGTGCCATTTTGGGAACATTTCTGGTGCCATTTGTTAACATTTTTTGGTGCCATTTTGGGAAAGCTGTGTCCCTTTTTTGGGGATATTTGTTGTCTTTTTGGGAACACTTTTAGTGCCATTTTGGGAAGACTTCTGTGGCCTTTTTGGGAACTCTTTTGATGCCATGTTTGGAATGCTGTGTCCCTTTTTGGGAACACTTTTGGTGCCTTTTTGGGAACGCTGTGTCCCTTTTTGTTGCCATTTTGGGAACACCCAAACTCCATCCACACCTCCCACCACCACCACCACCACCCAGAACAGCAACAGCGAGGGGTCAGCCTCCAAATCCCAGACATTTCCCGGGGAATTCAACCCCTGCTGATCCCATGGGCCCCAGGGACCCTTTGGGATGAGGATTTGGGACCCCCAACCCTTTTCCTGACCCCTCTGTGCCCCTCCCAGGCCGCCCGGAGCCGCTGGTGTTCCACATCCCCCAGTCCTTCTTCGAGGCTCTCCAGCAGCGCATCTCCAGCGGCAGCGGCAAGAAGAGGCTCCCCAACTCCACCACGGGTGAGGAAAAGGGGGAAAAACACGGGAAAACATGGGGAAAATATGGGGAAAACATGGGGAAAATATGGGGAAAAACACGGGGAAAATATGGGGTAAAACATGGGGAAAATATGGGGAAAACATGGGGAAAACATGGGGAAAATATGGGAAAAACGTGGGGAAAAACATGGGGAAAATATGGGGAAAACATGGGGAAAATATGGGGAAAAACATGGGGAAAATATGGGGAAAAACATGGGGAAAATATGGGGAAAACATGGGGAAAAACATGGGGAAAAACATGGGGAAAAACATGGGGAAAAAACGGGGAAACCATGGGGAAACCATGGGGAAAACATGGGGAAAACATGGGGAAAACATGGGGAAAACATGGGGAAAATATGGGGAAAACATGGGGAACACATGGGGAAAATATGGGGAAAACATGGGGAAAAACATGGAGAAAACACGGGGAAAAACATGGGGAAAAACACGGGGAAAATATGGGAAAAACGTGGGGAAAAACACGGGGAAAAACATGGGGAAAAACATGGGGAAAACATGGGGAAAGCATGGGAGAAACACGGGAAAAACATGGGAAAACATGGGGAAAAAATGGGGAAAAACACGGGGAAAATATGGGGAAAAACATGGGGAAAACATGGGGAAAAACATGGGAAAGGGGGCAAAAAGGGAGGAAAAAGGGGCAAAAAGGGAGGAAAAAGGGAGGGAAAAGGGGCAAAAAGGAAGGGAGAAGAGGGGGAAGGAGAGAAAAAATGAAGAGGGGGAAGAGAGGCACAGAAGGGGGAGAGGAGGGGGAAAATAAGAAGGGAGGAAAGGGCGAAAATGGGAGGAAAAGGGGAAAGTTGAAGAGGGGGAAAAGAGACAAAAAGGTGGGAAAATAGGCAAAAAAGGGAGGGAAAAGAAGGGAAAAAGGGGGAGAAGGAGAGGGAAATGAAAGAGGGTTGATAAACCGAGAGGAGGGGATAAAGCAAAGGGGTGAAGCCCCCCCGAGCCGACCCCTCCCCGCAGCCTTCGTGCGCAGGGACGCGCTGCCCCTGGGCACCTTCTCCAAGTACACCTGGCACATCACCAACGTCCTGCAGGTGAAGCAGATCTTCGACACGCCCGAGGTGAGGCCGGGCCGGTCCCCCCGGGAGCCTCGGCAGCCCCCGGCCGGCCCTGAGCGCTCCCCGCCCC